CGGCGGATTCCGGGTGTCCGGGAATGAACTTGACATCTTGGATACCGCCACCCTGATTGAGTTAGAAGATGATGCTAATCAGATATCAGGGGTTAGCTTACATTGGGAATGGTAAGGGTGCTGATAATCTTTCGTGAGTCGAGATCCCAGAGGCGCAGTGTATCGGCATGGCGCACTCCAAGACTAGGCTTCAAGATAGTAATCGGCTCGACGAAGTCGGAAGTCAGGATGAGCTTCTTCTCCCAATCGATGCTAAGTCCGTGGGGAGAGAACTGCTTCTCAAGAATGTTGAGGGTTCCCTCCACATCCTCAGGCCATTCGTGAATGATGTTAAAATCGGCATCAGTCTCAACGAGACGGCCGGGAGAAGTACCAACGGCCGAGCCCATGTAGGTGATGAAGAATCCACCATCTGGCTTTGCCCGGACTTCATCCGCAATGGATGCAAGGATACCGCGGTTACTCTTGAGGAACTTGGGGCGGTAAGGGTTGGAGGTATCAAAGTAGAAGCCGGTATCCTAATGAAAGATTAGATGTGCTGCGGAAAGCACATTGGGGGAAAAAAATTATACATACTTGAGTCTTCAAGAGAGATAGCAATCCACCACCCCAGATGGTCTTTCCATCCAGAGAGGGACCCAGGTGGTGAGGGTCATTGCCGCTGCTGGGCACATCTGTGACCCACAAAAGGGTTCCAAAAGTGTCCTAAAGTTGAATTAGCAAATAAGTTCAGGCTAGTCTCCACCAAGATCATGATTGGCCTACATCATCCAAACTGTAGGTGGCAAGGAAGTCTACCAATGATAGTTAGCATCGTCTCCTCTCTATAATCTGCCATTCGTAGATCCATACCTTTATGGAACTTGTCTGCCGAGCCAGTCCAGAAATAACCAATCTTCTTTGGCTTGATATCGCTCGACTCGAAGGGAGGACTCTCCAGTGGAGGAGTAGGGACTTGCAAAATAGGCAGGGGAGGAGCGTTGCTCGTCAAAGGCTCGGTCACTCCAGGAATGGTGGGAATGAGAGGAGGCAAAGAAAGACACTCCCCGAGAGCAACCAAAGACGCGATAGAAGCAATAGAGTACTTCATCTTGTTGATGAGAAGGATTGAGCAGGATTGCGTTGGTGTGATGAGCATATTTGCGGGAAATCTTGAGAGTTTATATACCCGGGTGCGCCTTCATGTCGTCCCAAATGGGGCATCGTTTTGCTCTTCCCCTGAATCATCTCGACATCTCGACAGTAACAACACAGAGCACGCAAAGAGGTCAAATTTTGGGTTCGTGTGATATTCCAAATTCCTCGAGGAGATGCTGATCTGCGAAATGGCGAAATTCATCCCTCAACACCGACATGAGAATTTAGACAATCCCCGACTCGGGATCTGATGTCGGGCCAGTTGGCCTCGTATTCAGAGCTTTTCTGACAAGTCAAACCGTGGAGATTCTTCCTAATCTTGAAGAGATGTCGTGATTGAGGTTAATCCAAAGTCTCGAGAGAGGGACTACAAGTTCGTGAAATCAATAGTTCGAACCCAAAACGTGCCTCTAGTAAGAGGTGATCTATACCATTCCTCAGCCTCGCCCTGGCTATCAGCGCCACTGATATGTGATGGACGAACAGGTAGCGGAACTAGGGCTTAAGGAACCCCATAATTTCCGGAATAGGAAAGGTCCAAGAATCGCCCTCGAAGATCACCATAGCCCACATTCAACAGTTCAGCACTCAAGCAAGGTACGGTATTGAGATCTGGGGGGGTCCAAGCAAAGTGCGAGTTCTGATTTGAGTTGACTAGTAACAAAGAGGTCAAAGTAGAGGAATGATCCGCGCATGCCAAGAAATGTGGGATCTATGTACTCATTAAAGGTACCGATGAGGTGATCTAGGGTCAATCTTCCCAGGGTCAATCTCCACCTTTCGAGAATCCCGAGAAACAAATTGCCGAAAATATCTGTCAGGTCCCTGGATCGACCTTTCTAATTTCCCCATGGAGACTATAAACACGGGCGAACCTGCAGCGATTTCGACATGATGCCAAGAATGTTGTTATATTCTTCGCCATGCTTAGCTTTGCCCCAACACATTTCGATCAATTATTCCTCCAGTTGGCTTCTTTTTACAAAGACTTCCGCGAGAAGCGAGATGAATACTCCATAGATCAGCCTGAATTGCATCATCTCGTGATTCTGTTTATACTTTCTGCTAACTCGTGGCGTTCTGATCAATTTCATTAGGATCAACATCACGATACCGAGCAACTAGGGAGCGGAATATTGAAATTAGCTAAATTCCTAAGGCCTATGCTCATCGGGATTTGGGGGGTGGGGTATTGGTTGTCTAAATGTAATATATAACTGGGATGACTCCAGGCTTCTTGGCTTGAGGCACCCAGGTCCAAATCCCATTCTTGTGCACATTCCTTTCCTTCATCCAAGATGAAGTCCCAAAGCCTCGCGCTCTTTGGACTATTTGTTACCTCTGCTTTTGCAGTACCTCGTACCAAAAGGCAGGATAGTGGTAATGACCAGCCGATTAGCGGTGCTAAAGGAGCCCCAATTCTAGGTAAGTCTAGCAAAATCTTGGAAGCTTCCAAGGCTGGAAGATTGGAAGATCTCTTCTTTGATACCAGTCAGCTTGATACATGCTTACAGCTGTCTATCTATAGGTGGAACAAACAAAGCCCTCGACCTTCAAAACCCAGACCAGTTCCGCACTGCCAGCACTGATAATGGCTTTGTGCCCAATGTCAAGTGGAGCTTTTCTGAGTCTCAGACTCGGTTGTTCCCAGGCGGCTGGTCTCGGGAGCAAGTCATTCAGGACTTGCCCCAGAGTCATGATATTGCAGGCGCCCAGCAGCATCTGAAGAAAGGCGCTATCCGCGAACTGCACTGGCACCGTACGGTTAGTGGCCGCAATTATATACTTCCTGTGGCACATTACTTACTTTTGCATCCAGGCCGAGTGGGGATTTGTCTATAACGGCTCTCTCCTTCTGTCCGGCGTTGATGAAAACGGTGGTTTCACCACTGAGGTTCTTGAAACTGGTGATATATGGTATTTCCCTAAGGGTGTAGCGCATAATGTCCAGGGTCTGGACGATGAGAACGAGTACCTTCTCGCCTTTGATGATGGTGACTTCGAGAAGATCGGGTATGTTCCATTCCCGACTTTACAAACTCAATATACTAACTAAGAAGAACTACCTTCATGGTCGATGACTGGATTGCGCACACTCCTAGGGATGTTCTCGCCAAGAACTTTGGTGTTGACCCTAAGGTCTTTGACTCGGTTCCTGCAAAGTTCCCTTATATTCTCAACGGCACTGTCAGTGAAGACCTCGCCAAGGCTCCCGTGGGTACATTGAGAGGCGATAATTCATACGTCTACCACACCTACAAGCACCCTTCAGAGCCTGTCCCTGGTCACGGTGGAACATTCCGCAAGATTGATTCTACCAACTTCCCTATTTCAAAGACTCTTGCTGCTGCGATTGTGGAACTAGAGCCCAAGGGTCTTCGTGAGCTCCACTGGCACCCTAATGTAAGTTTACGAATATGTGTCTCGAAGAGGAACTTTGCTAACCACTATCTAGGCTGAGGAATGGCTCTACTTCCACCAGGGTCACGCTCGTGCTACTGTCTTTATTGGTGACTCGAAGGCCCGCACCTTTGACTTCCAAGCGGGTGACACCGGTGTTTTCCCCGACAATAGCGGTAAGTAGACCGACTTCTCCTGTGACCTAGCAAAGATGCTAATTCTCATTAAAAAGGGCACTATATCGAGAACACCTCTGAGACGGAGAAACTTGTTTGGATCGAGCTCTACAAGAGCGACCGCGTCGCTGATATCTCCCTGGCTCAGTGGTTGGCTTTGACTCCTGCTGATACGGTTGCCAACGTCCTGAAGATCGACATTGAAGTAGTCAAGCAGATCAAGAAGCAGAAGCAAGTTCTTGTTCAGGGCAAGAAATAATTTGGCATTGGCGTATTGCCATGTCTGTGGATTGACCTAGCAGCGTATATGCAGGGTTTCTACCCTCGGGCTACATACACTGGTCAATTTGATTTCTTTTTATTCTATATTTATCTAGGACTTCATCGTCCAATTTCCAAACTTAACTTTTTGTAATATATCCATGGATGACCCCAGTCTTATCAACAAAACTGCATCCTATCGCTAGTGGGTTTTTTTAAATGCCCTGCCCCTCTTCCTTGTAGTTCAGTTCTTCTCTCTCCTGTCCACAAACCCGAGAGAACATGTCATCCGTAATTAAATTTCCCTTCCATTTACCCATGATCATTGTCAATACATCCTTCTATCGGCCCATATAACTCCCGCGGTCTCCTCGAGTCAAGGACCCCCGAATCTCGGAAACCCATGGGTCGGCCCGAAACCCACTCCGCTCCACTTAAATCCATATACTACTATGCTGCAACCTCTAAAATAGACCATCTAGTAGATAACATCTATGCTGCTCCCTTGTCTTAAAGCCTTACGCTTGGAGCCTAGAGGTGGTTTCGCACTCGTTTCATTCATCCCGCCCCTGGGGGAATCGTGCGGAGCTTTCCAAGAGTCGCATAATCCCTCAACCGTATCTCCTATAATATCATTAGGAAACATTCACATCTTTTCGGGGCTCGACATATCCCTACTTCGTGTGACTGATTTAAGTGTTGTAGGGTAAGGCATATACTGAAGTATCGATTCTGGGTCGTAGAAGTCGACGTACGTTCCTTTTCTGTCATGAAAAAGTCTCTGTCAAGTATTCAATTTGTGTTAGTTAGCTACTCCAAAGCACAGGCTTCATTCGAAGGTCGTCAAAATAACGGCGCTCTTGTACTGCTAGGTATTTTGATACATAGCCGATAAAGGAAAAGGCCACTAACAAAAGGCAAGAGGGAAAAAAGAAAAACAGAAAAAAGGGAAGCAGATAAAACACAAAAAGCATGATAAAAGTTTCTTGGTGTCAAGATAAAGAGCAAAGAATCACCTATTCGTACCTACCGCCGGGAACTATTGCTCAATTGAGCCAATGGCACGGTGCTCTCACCTTTAGACTGAGAGTTACCGGAAGGCGAAGTAAATAAAGGGGTTGGCTGATTTGGGGGCTTATTTGAACTACCAGATGAAGCCGCACCTGTGCTGGGAGCTGTAGTCGAACCAAATGCGGGTGATCCAAATGGACTAGATGTGGCTTCTCCTTGGAACAAAAAGCTGGAAGGGGCTCCTCCTTGAGACAAAGAGCTTGAACCAGAGAAGGAGCCGAAACCAGAGCCAGAGCCATAGTTAGAGCTGAATGGGCCGCCACCAAACACGGGTTGTGAGCCTTTCTGGTTACCAAAAGAGTTTCCCATAGTACCGGTACTCTTGTTCTTGGTAGACCCTGCCCCAGCGGATAGAGTTCCAAACCGCCCTGGCGCAACCAAGTTGGGGCCCGAGCTAATATGAGTAGACTGGGAAGTAGGCACTGGGCTTGCCACCCTGGTGGATGGAGTTCCAAACGGCCCTGGAGCAAACAAGTTGGGGCCCGAGCTAGTGTGAGTAGGCTGAGAAACCGACACTGAGCTTGCCGCCCGAGGAGTTTTAATTTTGCGGGCTAGTTTAAATCAGCCCAGGTTCCCTTCAGTAAAATAGAACGACTTACACGACTCAGTCCGAGTAGTTGAGTTGACAACAGCGGACCTTGGGGTGACCTTCCGAATATTGAATTTGCTTAATGTGCGTGAGCCAGCTTGTAGCTTCTCCAATTCCTGGGTTAGGCGATCTCTCTCATCCACAATATACGAAGGCTCAGCGGCAATCTCCTGAACCTGTTTGTCTTCCATGTTGTTGACTGTCTGGCTAGTAAGAATGCTACCCAGAGGACCAAGCAGACAATTTTCAATTCCGAGTGTGGCGACATTATCAATGAAAGTGATGATTGCGGTCTGTTATTATTAGCACTCTCTCGATTCAGGTTATGATTGAATAATAGGTTGATGCGGACTCACATCGTAATATGCTTGCATCTGATCAACAATGTCTGCTGCTGCAAACAGGTTGCTTGTCGATTCCAGCTGGCTATTGACTTCTCGAAGCCGCTCAATAGTAGTGGACTTATCTTCGGAATGAGTTCCTAGTTTCAAGGCCTGTTCCAACCTATCGATTTGGCGATCACTCCTGGCTTTCTGGATTTTCGTGAGAAAGCTTTTGCCTAGAGGCAATGGATGTCCTCGTTTATTGTATGCGGTAAGCTCATCTAGCTTTGCCAGTAGATGATCTTTCATTTTCTCCAGCTCAGGATCAAGAATGTTACCCAGTAAGAGGTTGTAGGTGTGGTCATTGGCGAGATGTTGCAAGAGAAGGCTGATGAAATCTCTAACAGCATCCCAAGACTTGGTCAAATGTTCTCGAGCAATTTCTTCCCACGGCTTGGATTGCTCTCGAAAAAGCTTTCCCACCAAAAGTTGATTGGCACTTCCTGGAAGCTCAATTCCTCGATTTTGGCGCGCTTGTATGCTGACTTCATGTTCAATATCGGATCTGGGCCTGAGGTCCGGTGTTCTGATATGCGTGTAGGGGTTTCCAATCTCAGAAACCATTTCAAGATTAAATTTCCCAATTAATTGGCTGCACCCGATAGTGTACATAGCATCAGCGAAATATTCGTTTAGTTCACGAATAACGGCACGCAAACGCCGAAGATCTTGATCGAGAGGCCCTGTCTCGTTATCTAATCCGCCGAAGAAGTCATCTGTGTACATGCCATCTAATGCTTGGGCGGTGATACGCTCGAAGTTGCTGCTAATGTTGAGCAGAAATCCCTTCTGTTGCTGGAGAGTACCTCGGGGCGGTCCCAGTTTACTCAGTCTGGATTGTCGATCGAGGACCTTTTCATGGATATCAACGATGAGACCTGGGAGATTGCGCTGGATATGTTTCAATAGAATAGAACTTAGTCGACGTCGAAAATTGTCAATTCCCATACAATCCGCCGGAACAGAGCCCCAGTTTCCTTGAGCAAAGAATTCCTTCTCTTTCCTATCTCTTTCGTCGTCCGACGCGTTTCGAGTTTCAAAGGACCTATTTCGTAACGCGTGCCACCCGAGCTTTAACGGAACTTTCTCGTTCTTGAGAATCTGCAGCCAAGACGCTTCTTCATCGGAATGAGCTTCAAGTATGTCAGGCTGCGTGATGATTCCGATAGTACGCTCTCGTGACTCGTCGAATTCCTCCGCCATATTCAAAACTCGTTGATTGTGGTAGTCATTCTTTGCCGAAACTACAGCCAGAATGATGCTGCGCTTGTTTTCCATGTAGCGTTTGGTGATATCATGAACAATCTCAATCCCTTGCTCATCCTGGGATGTGCTGTGGGATGTATAGAGACCAGGTAGATCAACGAGTGTCAACTCTGGCTTATCGGGTCCCGATATTTCAACTTTAAGAATGTCGTCGCTGAATCCATCGCCAGTGATGCCCATGCATTCCTTGGCTTTCTCAATCAGAGACTCTAGCTGACTACTGTTGGTGACCTCAGCCGGTGCAAATGCTTCAATCATCTGGCGCTCTCCTTTACTCGTTCGAGATGACCCAGGTTCGATGGACACCTTGAACCGGGGTGCTGGATGGCGACGCAGAATAACCTCTGTCGGGAATCGAGTGCAGACACTACTCTTCATTGGAAAACGCACACGAGAAACGGCCTCAAGGACAGAGCTTTTGCCGCTGGATTGGTTTCCACAGACAATGAGCTGCGGCAACCCGACAAGTCCGCCGACTCCGATGGCGCGAAGATCATCAATCTTATCAAGAAGAGGACCTTGCTCCGTCTGCAGCTGATGGAGGGCGATATCTACCTCGGTCGAGCCAGACATGGTGATGTTGATATCTTGATCAGACAATTTGGGGATAATCTCAAACGATTTCCACTTGAAAGAGTGTAGGAATTAAACAAGAGGGATGATATTTCGAACTCGCAGAATTCGGGGGCCGTGTCTACGTTCTGCGGCGCAGTCACTTTGCATTGCTTCAAACGCATCTAAGATATCTAGTGCATTGAATCCCTGCTCGGCCCCATTTTGCTTGTATCATAGAGGGACGAACACCAATCAAATAGTAGCCAGGGAAATTAGATGTAACAAAAGTCGGAAAAATAAATCCGGTCAATGATCTACGATTAAAATAGTTCAAAAAAAAGGCAGGCCCGGCTATAATTCGGAGTATAAAAATAGAGGTTCGAGTCATCACACCTATTTCAGATCGAGGCAAAGGCATGAGGCTCTATCTCATTCTATTCTATCATGATGTACTACAACAAAGCAAAAAGCACGAACAGGCTAGCAACAATAAAAGATGTCAAAAATGCCAGAATTGATTTGATATCCAACTCCGGTAATGCGCTGATGCTGTGCAAACACAAAAGACCAAGCGTGGCTAATTCCAACTCGAGGACCAACAAAACTCCATACACGCCGCCAACAATGCTCAAATCACACGCGCTCCTCGCGTGATGGGGGAATGAAAAAATCGCAATACAAGAATAACAAAGAATATAACCTAATTTTTGATCGCTTTCCTCCGCAATACACCAAGTTGCTCCAGTCTGTCCCACGCTTTGTTCATATCAGAGCACTCATCGCCCAATGAGGGCCGAAGGGTTAGCCCGTCGAGGGTGTGGAGGGTGCCACTTGTGCCAGCGTAGAGCAAAAGCTCTAGCACTCTTCGGCGCAGGCGCGTGGCTTGATCGAGATGCCTTAAGTACTTCACATCCGCGTGCGGGTCGGCGAGCGGGAGTGTGTATGGGTCGTCGATTTCGATATCTCTTTCTGTCTTCGGCTCATCCCCAATGGTGGCGCGATGAGAGATCTGGTCGTCATTTCCGAGTTCAGCTAGAGCATCGGAAAGATCCCGATGGATTCCTTGGTGTCGGACGACTGCTTGTTCTTGGGACTTCAGTTTCTTGCGATCGGGATTACCACTGCCAGTCACCGTTGGAGGATAAAATCCGATAGTCAATGGGTTCCCACGGAGATCAATCTTGCGTAAGGAACACGCAGTTCCTTTTCCGGTTTTTCCTAGTCGACTAAGGATTTGGCAGACCCTTCTCATCCTTGAGAGACGGTTACCAACGATCATCAGTCTAGCAAGACAATTCATTCCAACCAGTGGCTCAACATCATCAACCGAGTTGAAATTCAAGTTCAGGACCTTGAGATTTGGGAAGCTCAAAGCAAAGTCACTTGGGAGAGTTTTCAACGTGCACGCAGCTAGATCAAGAAGTTGAAGTCGTAGTAGCGGAGCAGAAGGGCACACACTTTGGTGGGAAAGCTTGTTCGAGGACAAAAAGACTTTACGAACATCCTTGACAAGACCCAAATCAATATCCAGGCTGTGTTCAACGTCCTTTTCTTTTGACGGTGTCTGCTCTCGGAGAGACAGTACCTCGAGATTGTGGCAATTCTCAAGGCCAAGAACGGTAGACAGATGGTTTTGATCGAGGTAAAGAAGGCTGACAGACGGGAAAGCTCGTGCATCTAAAGCCTCCAATTTATTTTCAGAGAGTTTCAGGGCGCGAAGACTGATAAGGGATGCAGAAGAGTCAAAGCGGCTAATCTGGTTGGCGCTAAGATCAAGAGTAGCAAGTGACGGAAGCCATTCGACATTCCGAACTGATGTGAGGCAGTTGTGGCTCAAATCAAGATCACGAAGGCGTGTCAACTCGGACCCTTCAAAATCCACTGCAGTGATGGAATTGTTGCTCAGCTTCAGGCTTAGCAAGCCATTCAGATCAAGAATGCCGTCGATATTACGGATCTGATTGTCATTCGCCTTCAATTCCCTGAGATGAATCAGGCTCGAGAAGCCATCCAACGTCTCGATATCGTTTCCTGAAACGTCCAAATACTGCAGATTGACCATGTGGCTCCAGGGAGTCAGGTTAGAGAGGCAGTTTCTAGGGATCTTGAGGGTTCTGAGGGTTGAGGGAATGCCACTCAATTGACCAATGTCGTTATCAGAAACATCCAACTCCTCTAGTCGGGGGCAAAATTCGTTCAGCTTGTGCAGAGTGATCAATCCCTTCTGGCGCAGGACAAGGCGGCGCACATGTTCCCAATAAGGCTCGTATGGTTCCACGTCTGTAATATGCTTGATCAAATCTTCAGTTGCAAGTGCGAACGTCCCGTGCACTTGTCGCAAAGAGGAGGGATTTGTACGTTGGGCCACATAACTCATTTCAAGTTTCAGGGGTTTGTCGCCTTGGTTGACGGTGAAGTCCGGAAGTGGACTGAGGTGGAAGCTATAGCTCGTGTCGGGCCCAGCGCTCTGGAGAGGTACCAAAGAATGCTCTACCTCGGTTCTGGCGGGCGTTTCTTGGACATGCAGGGAATCATTCCTGCGGACGAGGCTTTGGTCATCAATGGTCTCCTCATTCCTCTCCTCAATTCTCGAGATAGGACGTCGAATGAACGGCTGTCCGCCGACTGAAGTTTGGCGCCCTGTGGGAGGAACAGATGACCGTATTTGGCCATTTTCATGGTCTGCCTGGGCTGCAGCTTCGTCTGGCACAATCCCATGGTAGGTATGGTTCACGTTCAGGTCAGGTTGGGCGTCATCGGGCTCACCGCGAGAAGAGGGGCGTGAAACAAGAGGTGATGAAAGATTCAGTGTGGCAACGCGTGCTTGTTTTCCGAGAGATCGGGGGTCTTTGAAGACAACGGCTCGTCGCGCTGGGCTTCAGGTTTTCCTTGCTCAGAAATTTTCCTTTCTGCGGCCTCGTCTGTGCCCCATGATGTAACTCTTGTCCCAGTGTTAGGAACACTTGACGTGAAGCGAGTGAATCTTGATTGGACCGAGCTTGCACCGAGGGATGGTTCTCCGTCCCTCGTATGTGGCCGAACATCAGGTTTCTTCGGGGATGGGTTCGCAGCCAAAGGACTGCGGGCCTTAATTTGCTCTCGGTCAGCGGGAGCATCGCTCTTTGTAGGAGAATCGAGGCCATGGACTCTCATCATCTCCTGGAGCTCGTCTACACTGAGATCTGGAATATCTCTGAATGGGTCATCAGCCTCCTCGGCTGGCTCAGAGACCGGTGCCTGTTGTTCTTCCACGTCATCTTTCACCCATTGATTCTTCGAGCGGTCATACTTGAACCCATTGACCTCATTCGGAATAAGGTGGGCTACAAGGTCAGAGGCCAGCATACCCTTCACTTGGGAGCCTTGCGAGGAGCCGGTGGGCACGGAGGTGACGCTAAACCCAGACATTTGTGTGTTGATAGTCATCAGATCCTGGGCAATGTTTTCCGCGGTGTCATCAGTCATGCCACTAGTCTTTCGTTTCCTCGGTCCATGAATTCGGATATTCTGTGAGTTAGATTCACCGAGCTCAGTTCGGCCCTCGTCCTGACCATGCCGAGCATGCAGGGACATTTCCCGATCATTCGGATCATCTTGCTCCTGGTATTTTTTCAGGTGACTCAAGATCAGTGGATTCAACTCCTTCACCTCTCTTAATTTGCGAAGATCCGTTCCGTCACGGCTAGGGGGCCGAGAAAAGGCTTCCCGGGTGGATTCATCGTCGTCGCTGAACTCGTCGCCTTCACTTTCCACGTCAGACTCATGTACACTTGTCAATCCAGCCGCACCTCGTCCTTTGGATCTGATCAAATCCATGATCTTGGTGGCCTCGTTTAAATAATCCTGAGTCGTGATAGATCCTTTTCGTGATGTATCGCTTGTCCCAGTAATCTTCACTAGCGGAACGTCGCCATCAAGGGAAAAGGAATCAGAATAATCATTATTTTCGAAGTTTGATTCGGAGAAATCTCTGTGTGGTGCAATATGGCTTTCCCCGTCTGTTCGTATTTGGCTTGGTGTGGGGGTTCGAGGTCGCTGTCTCGATTGAGAAAGGCCCGGCGGAGCAAGATAGTCGCTATTTTCGAGCTGTACACCATGTTGCAATAGGCTTCGTTGTAACAATGACATGCTGTCACCATACTTCTGAGGCGAACCGCCATTGGCGCTGTGATAGGGATCGGCGCTATTGTTTCTCATGATTGTTCGGCGCCGTTTGGGGGTGGGGTCCATGCCGGGGGCCCGTGGTACTCGCTTCACATCAGGGGCCATATTTTCCTTGTTGTTCGCACGAGTCCCGTGCCGCACATCATCAAAGAAATCCTGGCGCATCCAAGCAGATGGTTTCCTGGTGAATCCCGAGCTTGCAGATCTGCTGTAATGGTATAGCCCCTGCTGTGAAGGGCCACGAAGATATTGTTGTCGAGTTGACGATCGCTTTCGTGAAGACGGACGGGACCCAAATCCTCCGGCCTCATCATACACCAATTTGTGCTCGTAGGGGCTGGTATCTGAGAAATCAAACTTGTCCAACTCGCCACCGCCGAATTGACTGATCCGATGTGCGGCATTACGGGATCCAAGACGTTCGTTTCGCCTAGGAGAGAGCTCCTGCAATGGTTCATGTCTCGCATTTAAAAAGCTGCGGTTTTCGCCCTTTCTTCGCGCTTCTTCTGAGGGCGAAGGGGGCTCCTCCCCTTCTGAATTGTCGCTGAAATTGTCTTCAAACTGGCTCATGCGCCGGAGAAGTCTGTTATTGGTAAAGGTGTCATGGTCACCGAATAGCTTCAATGGACTTCCTGATGACGGCATCTTGGCTTCATTTTCTGCTCCAGCCGTGGATGGCCGAACATGAGACGAGGAAGGACGCGGTAGACCAGGTGACGCGGTCTTGTGAGGGGGGGTTAAACAAGGGAGAACTTCGGATTTTAGAGTTGGCGAGGGTTGTGGGGGACAAACGGTGCGAGGGAAAGGGCGAAGGGGAGAATCGCCGAGGGAAGGAGCGGTTTCCTCGCCGACTGTGGAAGTCCACCGTCCCCATAGACAGATCCTTGGGTAAAGAATGACTTGTCACGTCTAGCAAACTATCATCTCGTGGAGACCCATCCGCGTGAGGTTCACTGTGGTTGTAGAAGAGGAGGCTATCGCTTGCGGGGGAGTCCGAGCGACTATCGTTTTTGATAGACAGGCTTTCCAACTTGTTGGTGACCTGCTTCAGCGCAGACTTAATGACTTCTGAAGTCCCATTACCATCAACAGTGTTGTTGCGGGAGAAGGTTATGGGTGTGATCCCCTCGTTGCGCAGATCCTCCAGCCCACTAGCTGTACGGAGCTGTGTATTCCCCGCTTGTGAGAACCCTTCCTGGTCCCAATCCACATCTAAGCGCCCATTATTCTCCCGATGAGCGCGACTGACGGTTCCTTCCGGCGATCGGTCGCTAGTATCCCTTTCATCCTCATTTACGACGCGCGCGTCATCCTCACCACCGTTGTCCTTGTCTCCATCCTGTCGCGAAGGTGTGTCTGTGAAATCCCACAGATGGTCGTCCTGCTTCGTAAACGGGGTAGAGCCTGCTTGCGCCGTTGCAGCACCAGGTGTAGGCGGCTTAAACACGCTTTCGAGTCCCATCGGTGCGAACAGGTCCCGTTGTTCGCCGGGGGCGATTTCCCCGCGCACTAGTCGCCTGCGCCATTCTGGCGTACCCTCTTTTGTATCCTTGTCTTTCTTCGATTTGATCTGAACCGTGCCGTCGAATTCGGATTGTGTGGAGGTTTTGGAGACGTTTGAGACCGATCGTAGAGGGGAGCGCGTATCCATTGAGGGCTGCCTGCGAGCCGCACCCGGGGTGGGCTTGGGACTGACCTTTGGACTTTTGGTGTTGGTCTTTGGGTTGGTCTTGGGAGTACTGGATTTCAAACTACCCGGGGCAGGCGACCGTGGTTTGCGTGTTTTGGGTGTTCGGGGAGTCTTTGGAGTCGGAGGTTCTCTTCTATGGAAATGACATGGTCGGGTCACCTTATCCTTTTTGTTGCTTCCCGGGGATTGTTGTTCTAAGGAACGGCGGGCAGGCACAGGAATGCGACTAGGGGTTCCCTGCTGACTGGTTTTAGGCGATTCTGGTAGAACAGGTAGAATAGGTGCTGGACTGCTGGGCGAAGCTGGAGAGGGCCAGTCGTCTGACAGACTATCCAACCATGGTTGGTTGCTCATTTTCAACCTTTGTTATGATGCCGGTACGCGTTCCGGGTCCAAACAAAACAATCTCACATCCACATCAACATGGAAAGGCATAGATCGGAGCTAATTAAAAGATAATAAGAAGAACGGTGGGTAGAACAGTGCGGAGATGCGGTGTCCAGCGTATCTCCACTTAGCCTGGGAAAGCTCCAGGGCCAGGGCTCCCTTGTTTATTATCTTTTTTGTTTACCTTTTTTTTTTTTGGCTTCCGTCCAGATCAAGATTCTAATTTAATACTATTCCTAGGTAGGATATAATATCATATCGAGATTTTTGAGATCTATCAATTCTATATTTCACCCTAGTTTCCACTATTTTGTTTTGTTTTTGTTTTTTTCTTATTTTTTATTCTGGGGAAAAGAATATGCTAAAATGTCTCTGAACCCCCAGATTCAAGCCAAACTATCGAGTCCCTTTGAGGCCTACTATGTTGGCTAGTCCCACTTAGTTTTCTTTTGTTGTTTCTTCAATATCATAAACAAGTACTCGTTGAATTGATCTAAAATCATGTTCTATGTCAAAATATTTAGAGGGGATGCTTTAACGTTGTAGATCGGTAGAAAATATTTTCGGTGTAAGTCGGTCCCACATATATATCTGCAAGGCTTGATCGTGAACTACCAAAACAACCAAAATAGATTGACCCTTCCCAATTCTAATGTCGAGTCGAATATTGATACATATCTGAACACGCGCAAGGGTGGGATGATTCCTTGTTGCATAGAAATAAATAATTGAAATACTGTGTGGGAACCCAAATATGTATTGTTCGTGTCTTAACTCCTAGGATATTGTCTCCCTCAATAATGAATGTTACAGTATAGAATATGAAATGCACATGGTTTTAAATAATCAGTCTCTCGAATGAGTACTTGCCAACCGCTTTGCGGCGCAGGTAACCAATCTCACGGCTGGTGCGGTTCTTGACCTCGCCCGTCGACTTCTTGGTCTTGGTGCGGGACACATCATTGGAAGCAGCCTTGAGTGACAGTGGTAGCATCTTACCACCAGCATCGCCATCGTAGCCATCCTCTCCCTCACCGGGACGAGTGAAGACCAACAAGTCGGCGCCATTGAGTTTCTCGTAGCGGACCAGGTGGGATGGACCGGACGCATCGGCATCCATCTTGGCCAGGGCATCCTCCGAGGTAGTAGCGGGGGTGGCAACTTGGTCTGCAAAGCGGAGGTACTCGCACAAAACGCCCTTGAGATAAGTAGCCTCTTCCACTCCTGCAAGCGCGGCGGAGACTTCAGACTTCATGTCTGCAATCAATTCCATTTCGCGACTAGCAGCGGCAGTGACCGAGTCGGAGTCTTCAAAGTCACCCGCTGCTGGGATGGCCGAAATCCAACCGGACGGACCCACAGCATCCACAGAGGCAGTGATGAGATCAATGATAACATTGAGAGAAAGGGCGGGAGTAATTTGGTCAAGAGTAATAGGGGTGGGGGGGTTTTCAGTGAACCGAGAAGTGTAACCTCCGGTAGCAAGGGAAAGGCGGAGATGGTGAACCATAGAAATGAGCTCTGTCCGGGAGAGATTGGAGCGGAGGGAATGAACGACGACTGACGCGGGCTGCGAGTGAATCTTTTGGAGGGAGGTGTTCAGGCCAGCGAAGATATCCTTCAGGGTTGCCGTTTCGGCCCCCAGCTGTTTTGAAAGTTCCTGGGTGGGAGTGGCAAGATCACCATTTGTGATCGCGCGAGCTGTCTCCTCAAGAGTTCCAGAGTGGGAACGTGCCTGGTTCAAGAAGGCCTTGAGCGCGTAGGCCAACTCATCGGAGGAAATCAGAGTGGGACCCTCAAGCACTTGGTTGACCTGCTTCAATGAGGGATCTGAATCGAGCAGGGCCTGAATGAATGATCCGGTGGGGAATGGCTGCAAGATGCGTGGCTTGCATGCACGACGGAGCGCAATCTCAACGTTGTCGAGCGACAGATGTCCCAAGCGAATGAGCCAGTCGCAAGTAGTCGGGGGCCACATGGCAACACGGAGTTGAGATGTAGGGGATGCTGACACGGTATCATTTGTGGCAGATTCTTCTATAGCAAAGATTTTTGATAGCAAGAAAAGAGTTGCTTCGGGATTAACATACTGCCCGCGGACCGGGAGCGTTGTGGAGGCATCAGAAGTGCTGAAGTATGTCAGAACAGCATTATCGAACAAGTCAATGTTCTTCGTCTTGGTCGCCTTCTCCACTGTTTTCGTGAGCTGAGTCCATTTCTCAACTTGCTCCGGTGATGTGAGCCGAAGGGAGGCCATGTTGTCAGATCGGTGCTTCTTCGATGCGATATCCCACTGCGCACCAGATGAACCAATACCTCTGCCGATGGCATCGATGAGCAGGCTATCTCTGGTCCGCTTCAGTGAAGAGCTCGGGGCACTAGGGAGAGAGCTCAAGTCAAAGGCAATAAGAGTGTTGCCCTTGGTTGCGACAGCAATCCCAAGCTTAGCGAAGTAGCTGATGAAGTTTGTAGGAGTCTCTGGGGTTGACCCAGTGCTTGACAAAAGATCACCAGCGGGAATACTGCGCTGTACAGAATGGTATTGGGTATCGTAGACCGCCACTAGAGATTGTTGTGCTCCAATCACGGATTGGGGAGAAATGCGCATGACCGAGGAGAATTCCTCATCATCAAGGACGAATTGCGATGTGACACAGGGAGAGTACTGAGAGAGGTCAACATTGATGAAACCCCTCTCGAAGGAAAGATTCAACCCTGCTGAGCCAGAGTGGAAGCTCCATTGCATGGAATTGCCATCGGTGGTTTCTAGGCCGCTCACATCCGGGATGTGGAAAGTTTGTAAATGGCGAAGGCGCTGACTTTCGTCTAACCGCAACTCTGACTTCGCATGCGCGGGGACTGAGAACATCTGCACAATGATGTCCTTGAGGGAGACTCGATCAGTGTTCTTGGGTTGGGATACCAGAAGCAATATAGATGGCTCGTTGGTTCCGGATGTTGTCAGATCGCCCAGCGCCAGTAAAGCCAAATCCTGTCGTCTTTTGAACAAAGCCTTCTTCGCATCATCGAATTCAACCAAAAAGCTGGACTGGACATTGTGAGTAGAGCAAACCTTTGCAATCTCACTGTGCTGAATACTCCATCGTTGGGTCTTCAGATCCGATGACAGCCTACGCACACGGCCATCCTCATGGACTGCCAGGATATCGAATGGGTCCGTCTCTCCTTCAGCATCGGTACTAGAGGGCACGATTCCCACAAAAGTCGTGGGGCTGGTCGAGTCGGTCACGGTGGTAGTAGAAGAAGAAATGACCGGAGCACTTGAGCCGCTACTGCCGATCTCCTCCACAAAGCACTTGATTTGATGTTCCGGCTTGGTGACAGCGGTATAAGTTTGTCTTCGGACTGTCGATTTTTTCGACAACTTCCGGCGAACTGAGCATGGGCGGCAAGAGAAAGTAGATTGCGGTGGGACGGCGTAGGAGGTCACGAGCTTAGGTGTTTGAACCTAGTGAAGATTAGAGTCAGATGCAGCCGAAAGAACGCAGAAGAAGTAGAAAACATACATTGTAAATATTCACAGCCTCGCCATCCACAGCAACTGCGACTTCATAGCGCTTGCGTTTTTTCGCATCGGCGAGACTGAAGACATCGCCGATACGGGTTTTGCCAGTAGAAGCGTGAAGGGGGCGAGGCAATTGCGCCAGGACGGATGGAGACTGTAAATCCATGACGAAATGAATACCAGGAATCAAAAATGGCTTGAGTTCCTGTCCCTTCAAAGCGTGTGATCTTTTTGATGCAGACCCATCCAATTTGGAAATCTGAAAAATTTTCGGGATTACGTCGGGCCGGCATATCCACCCCTAGGCCATATCGGGGTTAGCGCTGGTCCGTGAGGCAGTCAGCCTGACATAAGCAATTAACGCGCCTTTCGCGTCGGACGTGTTTGAAGCTATGGAGATCGACCTAGACTTGATTCTTCATGCAATCGTTCCACACTTACCACCAATATCCTGCCATTTCAATGCTATATCTGAGATACTGTTTGCTCCCTGGTCTCTCTTCGGGGATCAACTGATTGTTCATCACATGAGCATCATATCAAATCTACCGATGGCTATGGGAACTGACGAACAGCAAGTCATACATCCCTTCTTCCGACAAGGTCAGAATGTGACCCATAGCCGCAGGTGAATCCGAGCTTACAATGTCTAGAATTTGGTGTCTCGGTCAAGTCTACACCCTCAAACGAGCCAATCTCGCCCGCAAATACCCACGTACATGAGCTTCGACCGATAAGCAGCCAAAGCTCTACGCATGAGCAAGGGCTCCAGTCCCCGGATAATCACCATCGAAATGTCTCCAAACTAAACGGGGAGACTTCTGTGGATCTCGACGAAGACTTGAATGAGGATCGGAGGAAGAGGCGAAGGACGGACAAAGCCCAAACCACCGAACCCACTACTACTTCCAGTATTGGTCTCTCAGAATGGCTTGGCCATAACGTGACCAAAAGTGTGCTTTTGTCAACTGATCATCCCCTTGAGACCGAAAGTGATTTGTCTCTACCTCACGCCGAGGCTCCGCTGGTGGAGACCCAACTTCCTGCAGATGAAACCCGGCCATTGACACCTGCCGAGAACGAGAAACCAGAGGGTTCAGTCGAAAGAACATCTGCCAGCCAGAAAATTCTCAGACTGAATTCGAAGGGAGGGTTCCTATCGTCACCCGCCTCCAGTCCTCCCCGGGAGACAAAAAAGAGATCGACAGGGAAACGGGGAAGGCCTCGGAAGGTTGAGCGCAAGGTCGTGACGATCAGGTATAGCATCGATAAAGAGAAGAATATCGGGAAGTTGATCAACGATATCCTAGGTGGCCGAGCGGTTCAAAACCCCCCTGTCACTGTACCCTCTGTTCAGCCGCCCAAGGCGAAGAGCCAACCTCGAAAGCCCACACACCCATTCTTCAGCAAGAAATCAACACAGAAACCGGGGCCTACGAGTATGAATGGATCCCAATCGGACAATCCAGATACCAAGGCGAGCGTGCTCCCAAGCCAAACCACAGCTGTGGCCCCAGAAAAGAAGCGGATAGTGGCAGCTTCAGGCAGTTCGTTTGCTAGCTTCCCCCGTCGTGTCTCTAAGTTCGCCGAACTGCTTGATCCCCCTTTGGCCACCGCAAGATCTTGTGCATGTTAGAGACGTTCACCCACCCCCAGATGTTAATGATCGTGCTTGGCATACCACTCAGGACCGAAAAAAAATCCAAGGTCGCAACTATCTCAGTTAGAGACGAAGAAAATGTTCTTCTGGCTGGAACAGCTGAAGCAAGGAGGATCGCCCGCCTGTCCAAGCAGGACCACGATGCTTTAGCTATTCTTCGACATCCCGTGCGACATGTTGCTAGCAGTCAGGTCTTGCATACAGCAATGGAACGACAGATGTCGTGGTCCTCACCAAACCGCCAATTTCCATGGAATTCTTCTAGTCCACCTCTTGCTAGACTTCGATCGGCCCTACTCACATCAGTTTCAGCTTTCGATTGTGCAACCTACGAACCGCATCTTTGGACACACAAGTACGCCCCCCAGTCAGCGGAAGACGTCCTGCAGCTTGGCCGTGAGCCACAGATGCTTCGAGACTGGCTACGGCACCTCAAGATCACAGCAGTGGACACCGGAAAATCATCGAAGGAGAATTCAAAATCGAAATCAAAGCGAGAGAAAAAGGCAAAAAAGCGCCAGAAAGCTGACAAACTCGATGGCTTCGTTGTGTCAAGCGAAGAGGAGGCTTCTGAGATGGACAATCTCTCTGGCTCAGATGACGAGTTAGCGGGCGGCGTGACCACGACGCCTCAACGGACAGTTGTTAGGTCGGGTGACATAGCATCTGATTTACATGGAGCAGAAAGAAAGATCCCAATAACAAATGTGATTCTTCTTAGCGGTCCGGCTGGCTCCGGCAAAACCGCTTCTGTCTATGCCGTTGCAAAAGAGCTTGATTTCGAGGTCTTCGAGATAAACGCTGGAAGCCGACGAAGTGCTCGAGATATGCTGGAGCGAGTCGGAGATATGACGCAAAATCATCTTGTTCATCTCCTCAACGAACCCGAGAATGCCACACGCAGCGACAAGGATGCCGCTAAGCAAAACAAGCTGAAGAGCTTTTTCAAAGGCGCATCCTCGAAAGCTAGCAATCCAGTCTCCCATTCTGGCGAACCTAGCCCCAAACCCGAAACTGCGCCCAAACGCCCCCGGGAGCAAAAACAGTCTTTGATTCTGCTCGAAGAAGCCGACATCCTTTTCGATGAAGACCGGCAGTTCTGGACTGGTGTCTTGACTCTCATCAGTCAATCAAAACGACCGATCATCATCACCTGCAACGATGAGAGTTTAATCCCTACTCAGGATATGTCTCTTCATGCCATATTGCGATACCACAAGCCTGCTCATGACTTTAGCATCGATTACCTGCTTTTGGTTGCCGCGAACGAGGGGCATATGTTAAAGCGAGAAGCCGTCACCAGACTTTATCAAGGATCCGGAATGGATCTGCGTAAGTCATTGATGGATCTGAACTTCTGGTGCCAGATGGGTGTCGGTAGCGAGAAAGCAGGCTTGGATTGGCTGCTTCCTAGTTGGCCACCTGGGTCAAACGTAGATCATAATGGGGATCGACTTCGAGTTTTGAGCCTCAACACCTATGAGCGATATATGGGCTGGTTCAATCGTGATATGATTGTTACCCAAGGCTCGTTGGATGAAGAGACGGAAATCATTCGCAACAGCTTCCGATCGTGGGGTCTCGGCCTGCAAGATTCGGAGGACATGGCTGGGAAGAATGAAATTGAACTTCTGTCTCCTGATCAACTTCAGTCTACTCCCAAGCTAACACAACTTGACATGCTGTGCCGGGAAGCGGATTACTATGACATGAGGAGTTCTCTCGACATCCTTTGCTCCAATATCTCCTTGGACGCGAGAAACGTGAGTGTCATCGATACATCTACCGAAACACCAGCTAATAATTGAACAGGATGCACTTGATATATCCGCCCCAACCCCGCCAGAAGGCTTCAAATCCAACTATCTTGACAATTACCCACTCCTGCATACAGAACTGCGAACAGAGTATTCATCACTCAGTGAAACTGTCAGCGCTACCTTTGGTGCGTTGATAAGCAGAACTTTCCGTCCCGCAACCGCCCAGGACTTAGAATCTTTGTATGCCAACCGGGCCTTGAGCAAAGTCATTGTCTCCGCAATGCCTCCGCAAACCCCTCCAGCCACACTTCCTCAATTCCAGCGCATTTTTGAACCCATCATGCGTGCCAACTACTCAAACCCTACACCAACTGCCCGCCACGCCCCTTCATTCGAGAATGGACTCGCACCGATCACGGAAGATTTGGCCCCGTACATCCGCAGTATCATGGTCTTTGATGGCCGTCTCCATCAATACCGCGAGAGGCTGTTTGCGCTCACAGCGCAGGAACATGGGCGCGGCGAGAAGCGCTCACGCACGACACGTGCTAGTCGTGCGGCCCTTGAAGGAGGTGACAAAGCCTCAACACGCAAGGAGAGGTGGTTCGCTCTAGACACGCCTTACTACAAAGTGCAAGGCACCGCAGGGCCAGAGTGGCAGCATGTTTTGTTCCAAATGGGGTATTTCCATGTCCAACCTATGCTCGAGCCATCCCCCGAGTGCAGTGACCATGTCTTAGGTGACCGAGTCATGGAGACTGCCGAGTGATGGGTCTCGTGTCTCGTCCACGATCCAATGTATTATTTATGAAAACGATCTCAATGATATAGCTACCTGTTTCAAATCTATGCCTGTACTATCTATTATTTACTATTCATACCAGTCTTCGCTTTCGCGTAAAAACATTCGTGTCTATAGGTCGTTTCTACCAGTGGATATTGCGACAAAGTGGGAAAATAATGATTCGCTATTGTGCTATGGCTCAGATCGCTCGAAACTCATAAAGAAACATTGAAAGAGGAGAAGAACCTCGGAAGCCAGTCCATAAGAAGAATATTTGAAGTATCGCAAATCGAAGAAAGCGCCCCCCAACCAGTAGGAACCTAGCGACAGTTAGCATCCAACTTCATTTTGGACACATCATATCCAAACTTACAAGAAACATATCAAACCCCGCACTGACTAGGAAACAACCCTAGTAGCCACGGGCTTCGGCACCTCAGGACTCTGGAACTGAGCAAGGTGATAGGGGCCATGGTCCTGCTTGAAATCATAGATCGACTCGCCGGAGCTACGCCGCGACTCAGAAGCATAGGGACGTCCATTTGATGGTGGTGCTCCCTCCGTGCCGAATCGCTGTGTTGCGTAGCGAGCATAGAAGCCTGAGCTGCGTTTACGGTCTTCTAGGTCTTCACGGTCATCGCGACGCTTGCGCTTGTGGTAGAGGACTATCAGGACGATAAGGGCGGTTATGAAGATACTAAGATATAATTAGTTCTGCTATGGTTGGGCGGTTCAGTGTTGTATGTTGGTTGGATGCATTGATGGATGGATGTATATGTGACGGCGGAAAAGGGCGGTGATGGAGGCGGTGATACTTACACCCCTGATATCGCGGCGGGAATGCCGATGGTCACGGCTGAGCTGGTGGGCTTTGTGCAGCTGGACATGGTTTCGTCGCCATTGCAATCGCGGCGGAAGAGAGTAAGGAGTGTGGGGAGCATAGTGGATGCTTCGTTATGGTTAATGTTTAAAAGAGTGTATTTGATGAGAACCAGGAATAAAGGAGTGAAGGGGTTCTCGGGTCAGAAAGAAAGGATATAAGGGAGTGTGTTGTGCGGATGAAATCTCCAAATAAGTGAATCAGTGAATCAGTTAATAGAATGTCTCAGAGAGAGAGAAAAATAGAAACAAACGGCACAAACGGCATAAATGAGCTTCCTGCGTATCGCCTCTAATGACCCTCGATGTGCGGAGTTTCCCGTACAAAATTGGAGATTTTGATTCGTCCCCAGGCAAAGATGAAAAGGGGGTGGCTTATATCGGGGTCTGATTGAAATATGGGGTTACATTCTTTATTCTATGTTTCTTTAACTGAATTTCTTTTTTTTTTAAACGTTGATTAATTGATACTATAAAATGTGAGCTTATTCTTGTTGTATAGAAGATCCGTGGAGTTTCTCCAAATGATCTTCCTAAATATTAGCACCTTCAGGGATTGTCAGTTCCACTATTGTGTGATCGGCCTCAAATACCTTAGTGGATCGAATTTCAGTCTTCAGGTGGAATAGCTAATTGCTTTTGTTTCACTATGCACGGAATTATGTATTCTGTATAATTCTTTAGGGTTGGCCTGATCGCATGGGTAATTCATGTGTTGGTGCCCGAAAAAATATGGCTAAAAATAGCCTATTCTTCTATTGGATAGTTATATACTTTGTACACAAGATTATCATTTACCAACAGGTTTGGCAGCATCAAGTCTAGCCAAGATCTCACTCTTACCCACCTCATCACTCCACCTCTTGCGCGGTTGCTCAAAAGTTGACCCAATCCGACCATAAGAGATGCCCCCAAGTTGACCAACAGGCCGCAACTTCTCCAAGTTAATATGACTATAATCCTCATTGGCAGTGCCCTCCTTGACCCAGAAACGGGTAGCTTTGATGAGAACAGTAGCAGCGAGGCTCATACCAGGCTGTTGATGATCCGTGAACTCCTTGATATCAATCACCTTGCCCTCGATGTTGAACACCGATTCGGCGACGCGCGAGGGCTTCACGGTGGTCGATGGCGCCTCATGTAGACCGGATACATCCCACTCTGACACGCCATACGGTGCATCAATAGAGGTCGCGTTCACTGCCTCGATCATATTCTCCGACACTGTGTTGATCACACACTCCCCGGTCTCTCGGAGATTATGGTATGTGTCCTTGACCCGACCAGGTCGAGATGAGAATCCCACAATGAACATTGGGGGATCGTGATCGATGACTTGGAAGTAACTGAATGGAGAAAGGTTCTTTTCACCCTTGGAATTGACGGTGCTGAGGAACCCCACTGGTCGAGGCGCAATCCCTGAAACAAGGAGGCGGTAGTTGTTGATCATCGGGCGATCTGAGGCGTAGGGGTCGATTTCATGATGTTTTCCTGCCAGACTGGCTCCATTGTTGGGTACTCCTTGCCCATACTCCCAGTTGGGATTTGGGGATTTTGTTACTTCAATGGGCTTAGAATGATCAAAGTCTGGTCGCTTGGCTTGGATTTCGTCGAAATTGCTACTGTCTTGAACGACTTGGTAATTTTTTTGTGCTGCAGCAGTTTCAGCTTCTGATACCGCGGCCGTTGCAGAAGAACCCATTCTCAGTTGGTTCAATGAATGAGATCCAATGCGAGATACAGAGATGGGAGTAAAATTTCCAGTCCTGGGTTCAGGTTAGATACTGGTCGGACTTGCGAGCAAAGTTTGACATACCGGTTAGATATAAAGCGGCCAATTGCTCTTGTGTGAGTCATCTTAGATCGAAGACAGTATATTTGGCAGAATGACGAGATTAATGCGACAGTGATGCTCATATAAAACTATTTGATATCTCTTTCGAGATACCGAAAAAGTCGGGTACACCTGCCGAGAATCGGGATCCCGCTCCGACATCTTCACGATAAGGTATCTTTTGACCGAGGGGTCGAACCTCAACAACAACCTCCACGACTACCATTACTTCTTCGTATTCAATCAATCAATCATGTTCAGCCGAAACACATGCGCTGCTCTCAGAAGAGCTCGAGTTCTATCAAATCAACTTGCTCGAACCGCTAGTCCTCGAATCCAATGTATATCGTCTAGTGCGCCGAAGCACACTATGGTAACCAGCGTGCAGACGAACGAGGCATATGCACGTAAGTTTCCGGAGTAAAACCCCTGATATTCTATAACTGACAACACATTTAGCCTTTGCTCATTATGTATGTACAATCAAGGACGGAAGAGAAAAGATTGTCTAACAAATTCGCAGTCACAAGCGATTAAAGCCGCCGGTCAAGTCTGGCTCTCTGGGCAGATACCCGCAGATGCACAGGGGAAATTGATTAAAGGCACAATGACTGAGCAGACTCAAGCTATAATTAAGAATACCGAAGCCATTCTAAAGGCATCGGGGACTGGGTTAGACAGGGTTGTCAAAGTAGTGGTGAGTGTTGAAACACGCAATCCCTAGTATTTATTCGATAACTAATACCCTGGCAGGTATATGTTAAAGATGCTAATGTGATGCCGGAATTTGCTTCTGTTTATGACGCTGCATTCCCGCATCGCCCTGCACGGTCTATGGTTGAAGTGTCTAAGCTGCCTGCTGGGGTGGATATCCAGGTGGATTTTATTGCTGTCGTTTAGATCAATTAGCATAGGATTAAATTAGAGTAGAATCGCAAAGTCTAGACCAATAGAGAAATCAATCTCCAAGAAATACCAGCTTTTAGGGCTAGGCCGCTTATGTCGTTGGTTACGTCGTCGGCATTGTGACAAAACGCCGAATCTAGCGGCAAGAGGGCCCGGATTTTTTTAATCACTCATTCCGAGACAAAGTCAAATCAGCTTGGACTGTTTATTAATAAAAATGAACCCACCTTCGTTGTCTCCCCAATTTCAATCCACTGGGTGTAATGGCGCTGCGTTGGACATCCCATGCGGCCTTCCGGCTTCCCACTAGGCTGAGAGGTGTCCCAGGGCATGTCGCCCTTCCGGCTATCTCTTCTGCCCTTGCCAAATCTGGCCATAGCCAAGTGAGACATTTCCCATTGCAGGTCCGTACTTTCAGCAGTTCTTTGTGCAAGCATGATGGCAAGATTGTCGTGCGAGTCCCGCAGATGGCAGAGTCAATTACAGAGGGAACCCTTAATCAGTTTTCTAAGAAAGTCGGGGACTTCATCGAAGCGGACGAGGAACTGGCCACGATTGAAACCGACAAAATCGATGTCTCTGTGAATGCCCCGCAGGCGGGAATCATCCAGCAGCTGTTCGTTGCCGAGGGAGATGTAGTCAACGTTGATCAAGAAATCGCAGAGATCCAGGCCGGAGAAAAACAGTCTGCAAGTCAAAATGAAATGGAAAGCTCCAAGGCTTCGGAAGAAATTGCCGATGTGTCGTCAAAATCGCAAGATGAGACCGCGGGTCATACTTCGTCGCCCGCGTTGGATAAAGCAACACCGGAGGACTTAGAGTCAACGCCTGATGTGGCTCCTCACAAGGAGCCTATTCAGAAGGCAGAAAAGCCTAGTGCAAATCCTTCATCTACTGCAAAGTCCCATCCGTCCTGGGGATTTAAGCCCAGCCGCGCAGAAGAGAAGGTAAGTACACACTGTTTCTTCTTGCGATATACTTCAAGACCAAAATAAAATCCCACTGTAAACTAACACCGAATAATCGTCACATAGGTTAAAATGACTCGAATCCGAAAGCGCACGGCACAACGCCTCAAAGAATCGCAGAATACCGCCGCCTTCTTGACCACCTTTAACGAAGTCGACATGTCCCGACTAATTGAACTCCGAAAGAACAACAAAGAGACAGTCATGGAAAAACATGGCGTTAAGCTCGGATTTATGGGATTCATGGCTCGGGCATCTGCGTTGGCTCTGAAAGAGATCCCTGCCGTAAATGCAGCCATTGAAAACGACGATACTATCGTGTATCGGGACTACGTCGACCTCAGCATTGCTGCATCTATCCCGAAGGGGCTTGTCACGCCCGTAGTGCGGAATATTGAATCCATGGGAATCTTGCAGATAGAGAAAGCGATTGGAGGAATGGTGAAGAAGGTCAGTACTTTGTCTTGTCCTTTGAGGAAGCAGCCGCTGATATGTGGGGTTGATTCAGGCTCGGGATGGCAAGCTGACTATGGATGATATGACCGGTGGAAGTTTCACAATCAGCAACAGTGGAGTCTGGGGATCGCTCTTCGGAACACCAATTATCAATCTACCCCAGACAGCGGTGTTGGGAACCTACGGCACTATGGATAGACCTGTCGCGGTCAATGGACAAGTTGAGATCCGTCCCGTAAGTGTATTTCAGTGAGAATGTCGTTACTCTTTGATTCTAATCATATTACTCTCACAAGATGATGTATGTTGCCCTGACTTATGATCACCGGATCATTGATGGACGGGAGGCAGTCAAGTTCTTAGTCCTGGTGAAGAAGTACTTGGAGTATCCAGAGACTATGATGCTTGAGCTATAGATTTGGGAATAGTTGATCTGGTAGAAGACTGAATTAATGGCCGTCATATTTCTTTTCTGCCTCTGTTATACTTAGATTAGCTGGAATTTGATTACCGGCTTGAATTTCGAGCCTTCCACACTAAATACAGCGAGCGTACACCTAGAAATCTGAACCAGTATGAACCATTAGGGACTAAAAGTCACCAACAACCTGACTCTGGGGATTTATTTTAGGCATATCATGAATTGAATCCAATGCCTGCAGTAAGTAATCCGCACTGCAGAACCCGCCCATCCAATAAAGTTCAATTACAGTCCCAAGCCATACCTCTTTAGTAGATGGAAGGCTTTCCCTCTGCAGCAAATGTGCCCGATCGTCTGCCTCCTGATACACATGTCGGAACCCTTGTCCGATGTTTTGCGGTTACTTGCCGGTTATATGGCAAAACAGAATTTCACCGAAGCCCCTCATACTCCAGAGAGAAAATAGATGATTATATTCGCTCTTTTGGGGTTGCGCATTGGATTTTAAAATGTTTCCTCCTCTTTCCCGCTCCTATCAATCCTGCGCTATTCGCTCTGGGCCCCTTTTAGGTCGTTTCCATGTACAGAAAGGAGTATAAGGTCTCTATTCTTTGATTTTCATCATGTACCTTCTGAGATCTCCCCTAAACCAGGGTGTTGGCCGTCTAGGTACAGGATGTCGGAGACAAGCAATTGGAAGTCATCGTTTGAGGCCATGCTGGAAAATTTATACACAAAAGCGTCGTGTATGATCCACTTGGTTTGACTCGAATTGCAATGTTATAGCACAAACTAATTGAGATTTTTATAGCTTCACCTAGACAGCTTTCTGCAAGGAAATTCCGCAGATTATATGGAAGACATGTATACGGAATGGCGGAGGGACCCTGCTTCAGTTGATGCCTCATGGAAAGGATATTTTGAGGCAATCGAAGCTGGGAAGCAGCCACCTGAACATTTACTTCAACCTCCCCAGGATGTATCGTTTGAATGGGGCCCAGGGACCTCGCCAATGCTTCCAGGCCTGAATATTTCCGCGAAAAACCTGCCCATTCCCTCAAGAGCAGGTGACGATCAAGCCAGAATACAGCGACTTGTTCGAGCATTCCAGGACTTTGGTTACCAGATGGCAAAGACCAACCCCCTGGATCTACCAGACAAACCACCGTCACCACCAGAACTCCAACTGGGTTTCTATGGCTTTACCGAGAAAGACTTGGAACGAGAGTTTGCAATAGGACCCCAAGTTCTCCCTTCATTTAGATCAACAAACCACCAATACATGACTCTCCGTGGTATCCTCAAGGCATGCGAATCCATTTATTGTGGCTCGATTGGGGCTGAGTATTTACACACCGCAACCCATGAGGAGCGAGACTGGATTCGTGAGCGAATTGAATCCCCCAGACCATATCAGTTCCCAGCAGAGGAAAAGAAGAAAATCCTAGACCGGCTGGTGTGGTCTACAAATTTCGAGAAATTCCTCGCTGCCAAATTTCCGAACGCAAAACGGTTCGGACTCGAGGGCGTCGAGAGCCAGCTTCCAGCGGTGAAGGCAGTGATCGATGCCTCCGCAGAGCATGGTGTGCGAAATATCATATTCCCATGCTGTCATCGTGGGAAATTGAATGTTCTGAGCAATCTCACACGAAAGCCAAATGAACTGATTTTCAACGAGTTCTTGGGCGAATTGAAATCCCGACATGGTATTCCAGGAGATGTGAAGTACCATCTGGGAATGAACTACGAGCGTGAGACACCCACCGGAAAGAAGGTCAATATTTCTATCCTCCCAAATCCATCCCATTTGGAAGCCCAGGATCCCGTTGCTCAGGGTATGGCCCGAGCTGTGCAGCAGCAGAATAAAGAAGACCGAGCATCAACTATGGTCTTTAACAGTCACACCGATGCTGCATTTTCCGGACAGGGGGTCATCTATGAAACTTTGGGACTATCTGGGTTGAAGTCGTATGAGACTGGCGGAACTATCCATTTGATCGTCAACAATCAAGTCGGATTCACCACAGACCCGGAGTCTGCACGAACATCATCCAATGTATCTGACATAGCAAAGGGCATCAGCGCACCTGTTTTCCACGTCAATGCCGATGATGTTGAAGCTGTTGTGTTTGTCTGCAAGCTCGCGGTAGACTACCGTGCCAAATTCGCGAAAGACTGTTTCGTCGATATGATCTGTTATCGGAAGAATGGACACAACGAGATGGATCAGCCGTCTTTTACGCAGCCCTTGATGTATCAGCAAATTGCAAACAAAATCACCCAATTGGACCTTTACACCACCAAGCTAGCACTAGAAGGAGTGGTCACTCGTGGACAAGTCACGCAGATGGAAGCAGACGTGTGGTCGAAACTGAGCGAGAGCCTCGCAAATGCCAGGAATTCACAGACCCTCGAACGCGAATATCTCACACCACCATGGAAAGACATGAAAAAGCCCAATGAAGTGTCTCGGGAAGTCTATCTGGCCAAATCAACCTCTATCACGCAAGATCTCGTCAATACGGTGGCAAGTAAGATGGGTATCCCAGAGCAACCGTTCACCCTGCACAAAAGCTTGCCTAAAGTCCTCCAAAAGCGACAACAAAGTTTAACGGAGGGAAGAGAAATTGACTGGGCTACGGCAGAGGCCCTGGCAATGGGAAGTCTGTGTCTCGAAGGTCATCATGTGCGGATTTCAGGCCAAGATGTCGAGCGTGGCACATTCTCGCAGCGTCACGCAGTGCTCCATGACCAAAATAGCGGGTCAACATTTACTCCTCTCGACTCACTGAGTCCCAGCCAAGCCCGATTTACAGTTGGAAATTCTTCCCTCAGTGAATTCGGGGTCATGGGGTTCGATTACGGATACTCTTGTATGCACCCTAATGCGTTGGTGATGTGGGAGGCACAATTTGGCGATTTTGCAAATAATGCCCAATGCATAATTGATCAGTTCATTTCATCTGGCGAGTCCAAATGGTTACTGAGATCTGGTCTTGTATTGTCTCTACCTCACGGGTTTGATGGACAAGGATCTGAGCATTCCTCTGCTCGTATGGAACGCTTCCTACAGTTGTGTAATGAGGATGCTCGCTTCTTCCCATCGCCAGAGAAATTGGCGAGACAGCATCAAGATGCCAATATTCAAGTTGTATACATGACTACTCCTGCAAACATGTTCCACGTGCTCAGACGACAGCTACACCGTGAGTTCAGAAAACGTATGTTCTTGCCCTATCTGCGATATGGAAATCATTGCTTACCAGAATACCTACATGTATCTAGCACTGATTATGTTCTTCTCAAAATCCCTTCTTCGGAACCCGATGGCAAAATCCAACATTGGGGATTTCATGGGAGACTCAAAATTCCAGCCTCTGATTCCAGACCCGGCCCATGGGAAATCCATTTCTAACCCTTCTGATATCAAGCGAGTGATATACTGCACGGGACAAGTCTACATGGCCCTGTCAAAGTATCGTGAGGCCCATAACATTACGGATACAGCCATCACCCGCATTGAACAACTTCATCCATTCCCTTGGGAGCAGGTAAAAGAAAATCTCGAGCAGTACCCGAGCGCCTCGGATTTCGTATGGTGTCAAGAGGAATCCCTCAATGACGGCCCATGGGCATTCGCTCGAAGCCGACTTGAGACTATCTTTGATACGACGGAGCAACACAGGGGCCGTCGGGTACGCTTTGCGGGGCGCGAAGCAACGGCTAGTGTGGCTACAGGGTTCGTCAAGGAACATCATGCGCAAGAAGCTGCTTTGCTGAGGGATGCTTTCCAATCTCTCTAAATTGGATCTAGTGCAGTTTCTCGCTTGAATACGATAAGAAATGAATATGAAGTGCCCTAAGTGATTTCCTGCTCTTATTCTAACATCTTTAATATGTTCCTTCTTTTATCCATACGATATAAGGTGGTTTATGTATTGACCCAGGCTGAGAAATTAAGCCTAGTTCTAAATTTATGAACTTCATTATATATATTTATGCCAACGACTCCAGTGAAAACTGGAAACTGGGAGTTTCTATGATCAATTGACTCTCTCTAATAGAAAATCTACTTGTTCGGCAATTTTAACTTTCATAAATTCTCGTAAAAGGTCGTATAGTTAGTTGGCCTTGAATAGTTGCGATATATCAAACCCCAACAGATCGCATGATCCCTTCCACATCTAATTGATCTGCAAGATCCAATAATTCTCGCGGGGGAAGACTGACAGATGAATTGAGTCCCAGTAGATCCCACTCAAACTCTTCGTGATCGAACGCATACGGTTCTTCTTCGTTAATTTCATTGCTTTCATCCAGATTGACCTGCGGGGGCAAAGGGTGATTTGCCAATTTCGGCGTCAAAGGTGCGAGTATTTGCTCTAATTGCCTAAGTTCAAGCCTGCGAAGTGGTGCAGCTAGATTACCCTTTGAAATAAGTTTATCGAGCACTAGTGTCAGGTTGTCGCACCAAGTATCGTTCGAGATCACCGACGGGGCAATTGCACGGATTAGGTAGAGAACAAACGCAGATGATGATGCGTCTTCGACTTGGAACGGTAAAAATGCGTCTGTAGACTAGAATTAGTATCAAGATGTTTCAATATAGCTAGCAGACATACCCATCAAGTCATCATCCGCTAAAGTACGAAGGGTCTGAAGGATAGTCTGGGCGGAATCGGCGCAGCATTGTAACAGGGATGCAACAGGTGAGGATAACCCGATCGTCTGAGAGTTTTGTCTCTCTGTTTGTTCAATATGCATGTGAAGTGCGCACATCACTAGCGGTCTTGTTGTAAGTACCACACACTGCTGTTGTTAGCTTATGGCGAGATAAATCGTTCGCAGGGAACCCACGTGATGATGAGCCAGCATCAATCGAATCGCCATTTTTGAGGCACGACTAATTAATCCGTGGAAATGAGCATTTAAAAACGCAGTTAAATCGTATGAAAGATCGGCAATACTGTGAAGAATGGATTGTGTACTTCGAATGAGCGTGTCATCGGAATCGTTTCCAACCCCGTAAACAGCTAGATCTTGTTAGCATTACATCCAACGTCAATCGACTAAAAGACTCACTTGTCAGAATAGTGGCCATAAGTCGGGAAAGCCGAACATGCAGCGTCAAGTTAATTTGCTCAACTGAATCATCCATCTCTGCTGGCAATTTAACCGTGATATCCTCATCCCTAATTGAGCTGGGGGCACCGATTAAAGCAGAGAATTCTCGGTCCAGCATATAAACCACCCAGAATATTGTTCTGCATCGTTTGGAGAGCTGGGGTCCACATATCTCCTCTGGTACATGCCTGTGTATTCCTTCGATGATACAGCCTCGTAGGGCGTGCCCAATCTGTTCACACAATTAGATAATTCAGTAACAGTGAGATATGAATAAACCCACATGTTGAAAGGCCGCTCTTCTCATATCTATTGACTGGAGATACACTGCCCCTAGGCTGAGTGCTTGGATACAGCCCAAAGGGTCTTCGTCAACTCCCGATAAATCAGGCAACAGAGCCATCGCCCGCGATGCATATTGATGACCAGGCGGTGTTCCAGAAGGATTCTTCTGAATCAAGAACGCCTTTCCAAAAGCAAGAACAAGTAAGTATTGGCAGTACCAAGGTCTCTTGGAAGCAGCTTTCGCTGGGGGGTCCCGGTAGAATTCATGCAGGTCCTGCAAATAAGCAGTTTCATCAATCATAAAAGAAAGAAAGCCAAAATAGAATTTGACTGTGTTGAATAAGAAAAGTGCATAGTCCAACGGTGGCAGATTAGTGACGTCAGGTACTTCGTCTGGGGGATATGGTCGCCAGGTCAACTTGAAAGCCACGCCATCAATGTGAAATGGATCTGGCGGACAGTTTGATTCAGGCACCTTTCTTCCTATCAAAGCAAGGACACGGCGACAAAATGACCACGACGATGTTGGCCCCATGTACCCTTCAATATCCGAGTCAGTAATGAAGTGGCGCGATACAATAGACTAATTACTCACAAAATCGGCCATCTGGTGTCTGGGCAAAAGATGGATCCCGATCAACCAAAGGATTCCGGGAGAACCTTGATCGGTTATGATCTTGTTCGGCGCTACTGTTTGTCTCATGCTCTCTCTGAGGAGTCTCTGGGGTATGCAGGGGCGGGCCCATCCCTAGAAGCAAGCCATGATCAACACACCGAATACACATTCGGAGAATGGTTATAGCATACCAATTGGCATTGAACGCCATCCAATATCTTGTTGGTTATCTAGCAGTGTGCTAGATGCTTGAGGGGTTGGAGGAATATTAATATTATCGTCGCCGGTGAACAGTGTACCTCCTAGAGGACTATGGTCAAGAGGTGCCGGATGCCCATGTCGTCCCGAGTTTGCACTTCTGGATATGTGCTCCTCTAGCTCTCGCAAGTACCTATTATGGATTAGCACGTACTTGTGCAGCCAGGTGGAGCTATTTACCGTTCCGACACGGAGACCCGGACCTCCTCCACGGGAAAGTGACAATGCTTTTTCTTCCGCGCACATCTTGTGCAAGGGCTGACCCCCGAGCATTTGACCTTCATTGATCGACATCTCTCACAGCTTTTTTTTTATATAAAATGTAAGTTGTATATTCTACTTTGGGACATATTAAAGATTCTGACTCACGCCTTCTGGCACTTTTTCGTTTTTGCTTTGCTAGATGTTGCAGGCATACCGGATTAGGATACCGGGATGAAGTATAGAACAATTTTGAAGATTGTCTGTGCTACCGGGGCAACTCTCCGATATCAATGGCCTTGCAGTGTGCGGGGTAGAGATGGGAGAGCAGGTACAATCAGTCGGGATGTCCTTCCGACTTTTCTTATCAGAGATAACAGCGCCTCCGATGTCGTCTATCACGAACTATCACATGATTGGTGTGGCCCTAATGGGATAGACTTTGCCGTGATCTATTTGGCTTGGTGCATGGATTGTGCATATATACTAGGTTCCAATAGTTTGATTGGTTATATTGTGCATTGGGTATCTAGCCACTAACCTCATCCGACAATCCTTCGCCACAACTCACGACGTAATGCGGTCAACATGTGCTGTGTTCGTTCCACTGCCCCGCGATTCTCGATTGCTCGGCGGTGTAGATATCCCATGCACTCAGCAACTGAACCCCAACACATGCATTTGAAAGCTTTTGGTACGGTCAAGTTGGCGGCGGATGATTGTTCGAGGGCACGTTCATAGTTTTGCACCAGCTCACAACTGAGCTCGTCAGCCATGCCTTGGATTTGTCCACATTCTAACATGACTGTGGGTTGGTTGGCGAGGAGCCGATTCTGATGTGTGGCAATTGCTTTGGTTACACTAGCAGCGTTGTGGGTGGCAAGGAAAAGAGCGGCCTTGGGGAATGGAAGGCTCTCCTTCCCAGCAGGCATTCTTCGACAAAGCAAGGTGTCTGCAATGAGATCGTAGGATCGATCTGTATCGGCCTGTGTATCATGAATGAGAGAGCGGGTCTCATGCTCAATATATGCCCCTCGGACCAACTTGATACCTAGAGACCAGCCCTCTTGCGCAGCCAAGGTAAGATGATGGTCAAGGTTCGCCTTCGACCCCTTGAGATAGCCCTGAATAGTGTTGTAAACGATTGGGGCTTCAGATTTGTTATGTCTGCGCATCACTTCGATGGCCCAGTCATCAAGGCCATGTTGCAAGACTTGCTGTTCTGCATCCAACCAGAGACGTGAGCCCTGTTTTTCTGTCGCAATGCAAATCTCATCCATGGCTTTAACCAGAGGCTCTGGCATACTCTGGCGTGCTGCCATTGCATCCACTGAAATAGGACCGGCACCTGTCAATCTAGAACAAAATATCAGATTCCATTGGACGATAATTCAGGGCTTCATACTTACTTCACGGCAAGGAAGTCACCCGGCCCAACCATACGTAGTGTCTCCAATGTTCCCTCCTTCCACTCGTCAATCATTTGATAGCATTTTTCGCTGTATTCTGATGCGCCAGACGCATTGGTCGAAAGCATTTCTTCCTGATCCAGCACTATCTCCTTCGAATACCCCAAGATGACGCCCTGGTATCCCATCTTCTTAATGTCTGCCACGGTTTTTGAGACTTCCTTTCTATTCACTCCAGCACAAAAGTGATTGTAGACCGTCCAGCGAAGAAATTTGTTCAAAGGGAGGTTTCGATCTGGGTTCAATAGTGCGGATTTTGATGTCGCAAGGATACTCATTACGGCTAGAGCAGGTCGTAAGAATAACTTGGATGTCATCAAGGATGTCAAGAGCAATGACCGTAGCAATAATCTTGTCGGGATTCGGGCCATAGATGAGACCTCGACGGGCGGTTTGATTGCCGGCATGACGGCGGCATCATGGAAGTGGGATTTTGTCGAATGAAGTCGACAACATAAGGTCGGTGAAATTCGAACTGAGAAACCATGAGGGGTCCTCATAGAAGTAGAACGAGGTATCATCTTGGTTTAAGTCAGGGATGCAAATAGATGAGTCTAAAGTCGCACTTGTGTTTTATAAGGAGTTCAAGTTTGCAATATCTTTCATTCAACTCAGGTCATGGAATACTATTTGAAGCGAACACTTCTTCTACTCTCTGTGTTACTTTATCAGACCGCTACCACCTACCTAACTGTCCGTCACCGATAGTCAGCCGGTCTTTCATCGGAGGCGTCCTCCGACAGAGGGAGGGGTTCCCGGACCAGGAATCCTGTCCCGCGATGCCAACTCATCGTTGCTTCCTCGGGGCTTTGTGCTATCATTGAACGGCCTAGCACGGTAGATCCGTACATTATCATTGCTCAAGTTCCTGCACTGGCCCAGTTCGAGGCTGTAATGTTGATTTGCATTACGTTTTAGAGATAGACCTGCCCAAGTGGGGTTGGTCAATGACAGTCTTGTGATAAACTATTTGACTTTCAGTGTTACGAGGCGCTCATATATCTTTCGTGTCGGTGATTAGGTTCCGATGTTATTCTTCAATGCTATCTGGTGCTATCAGTGGTTTCTCTCACACCTCAGGACAGAACCTTGGAAGTCCAATCCCTGTTAGTATGGTATTGGAAGATATGTACTCTCACTACGATACGGAAAAGGAAAAGGACTTGAAAAATAACATAACCCATATTGGAGTATTATCTTAAATGTCAAATCTGTAATATGATACTTAGATTATCCAATTTATAAGTCGTCGTCAGAGACCGCGCAAAAGGCGAGTCTCAGTTTCATATAGTAAATCATGCATATATCCTTACGGATCTGTTTCTGAAAACACAACCAGAACTACATACAGCATACGCAGCCACACATGCTAACGCACAGCAAAAAAAGGCATGTTAGCTGCACTAGCTGTCGCCAGTGTTGTGACTTCATCTTTGTGCAGAACCATAACTAACACAGGAGCAATGAGAGCCAATCCACCACGAACTCCCATCTAAATACAGTTTCAAATCTACGCTATTGTAATCGTTCCTACATTAGCGTAAAATTAGTTGCTCATTCAAGATATAGAAATTCAATATATATTCGAAGGTGATAAGTTATATTTAGATTTTCCTTTCTTAAACTTCATTCGAAGGATATGTGACCTTCTCTAGAGGCACAAACTCTTCCTTGATTGTGCGAGTGCTAACGAATCGCTGCAGGTGCGCCATAGTGCCGGTCTTGTCGTTTGTACCCGAGTCACGGCTACCACCAAATGGCTGCTGAGCCACAGTCGAGCCGGTGCACTTTGTATTCAAATAGAGCATACCAGCAGCATGCTTGAGAATAGTCTGCGCCTGGCGGCTGACATAGGGATCCTTGGCGAAGATACTTCCAGTCAATGCGTAGCGAGAGGTTGTGTCAACCAACTTCAAAGTTTGCTCCCATTCAGCGTCTGGGTAAACATAGATTCCAAGAATGGGTCCAAACAGCTCCTCGGACATAATTTTGTGGTGAGGGTTGGAGGTCTGATAGATGGTGGGGTGCACGTAATAGCCCTCTGCTTTAGAAGCCTTGCCGCCAACGATAAGGTCCAGTTCCGAGTCGCTCTTTGCTTCCTCGATGAACTTGTTGAGCTTGTCAAATGAACGCTCGTGAATAACCGGGTTGATGAAATTGGCATAGTCTTCGACATCTCCCACCTTGAGAGCAGCAGTCTCTTCTGCTAGGACCTTTTTGAACTCGGGCCAAACAGACTCCGCAACATAAACACGCGAGTTGGCAGAACACTTCTGACCTTGATATTCG